AGCAGGAATTTTTATAGCAATGGACAAACTGACTACCAATTGGGATTATTAATTTTTATATTATTTATTATTAATGTTATATTATTATTAATATTATTTAATTTGTATGAAAATCTAGAACTGGAAAAACTATTCTAGGGTGAAAATATCATTGGTTGCTTTTGGGCGGGTTGGGATTGAGTGGGAAATAATAGGAAGGAATTTAATGAGGTGATGGCAATGCCCTTTATCCAGAGAGGGGTGTACATTACATGGGTTTATCAATTTGGCAAAACTTACTGAACTGACCAAGGAATACTTTAAAGTGAATTCTCTCTCTACGTTTAATTCTCTTAGAAAGCTACATTAGAATAGGAAGGGACCTAAGGTATCGTTTGTGGTTCTCTTTATTTTATATATGAAGAAATAAATACAGAGAAGTCAAATGAGGTGCTTAATGGCTGCAAGGCCAAGGTAGTGGCAGAGGAATTTAGAAGCAAGGTGTCCATCCCTCTTATGCACATGAGAGGGTCTGATTGCCTGTGAGTGTGGGGTTCAGGCAGTTGATACTCTGGCTGTGTTGGGAAGAGGTGGACAGTAAACCCATGAGTCCCAGCGTCAGGCAGGCCATCGCGTTCTGGGTCTGTCACATCCAGGCTTACTTCACCCTCTGGTCAGTTCTGTCAGCCACATGGGAACGTGAAGGACATTAGCTGTGGTTCTGCGTGAAAGCAGAACCTGGAACTGAACCCTGAAACTCCAGCCACTCTTCTCCAAAGAAAGCTAGACCCTGTCTTACTATTCATTGTCCTGTGTTAACTTGTCCTTTGGATGTTAGTCCTTTCTGCGATGTGTGATTGTAATCTCGATCAACTTTCTTTTACTTTCAGCCTTGTGCTGTGCACTTAGCTTTAAAGGCCCACTTCCACATGGCCTATATGTATAAGATCTCTAAACCGATTTAAGGAAACTCTGAGTCATTCACTCAGAAATGAATTTATTCATCCAGTGCCTGCTCTGTGCCAGGAATTGGGGATAGAATAGAATAAGCTTATAAAGACTGAAATATCGGATAATAAGATCATGCCCATTACTAACGGGGACCCAGTTTTAGGTTTGCTGGAGCGGATTAGGGCCATATCTATGCCAGCTTTTCACCGTTTCTAGTTGAGATGGTGGGATACGTTTTCTTTATGTGAAAGGCATGATTTGACCCACTATTGCACACTTATAACAATTTGAGATTTTATTAAGCCCCACAGATATTGTATTAGTTTTTGAAAAGAAACCAATGTTTTACCTTTTCTTAGGAAGAGTAGGCCAAATGTATAATATGAAGCATATTCATTGGACAATATCCAGTTCTTTGTTATTGAATAGCACTTATTATTTTCTGATTATAAAAGCAGTATATGATCATTTGAATATCTTTTTAAGAGCGTACTACATTACATTGTTTTTAGATATGGGGTAATTCCCAATTTTTATGTCTTTGTAAATGAAGTTCTGATAAATATTGATCAGCATGAATCTTTATGATTCACATAACTTATTATTTTGTGAGGATAGTGACCACAAAGTGAAATAAATGGCCTGGTCACAGAATATAGGATATTCTTTGGCCTGTGACATATATCTCCACATTACTTTGGGAAGAGACTCTATCACTTTATGCTGATCCCCAGTATGAGTTATCTTGCTGCAACCTAGTTTTCTTTAATGGGCGGAAAGGCTTTCCTATTTTCTTAGGGATGGAGTTGAGGGCGTCCCACACAATTGTCCCTACTCGGGACTGAGTTCTGTTGGATGGAAGAACATTTTTTGCAGTTAAAACGACAAAGTGAAAATTACAGTTCTTTGATTTTGGTGTCTTCTTTGAATTAAGCTTAATTTGATAAGGTTTTTATATGTGGAGATCAGAAGGGCCTGGGAGCAGCCCATACTGCAGGAAGGCCAGGCCAGTCTTCCAGGACTGCCCTCCTAGGAGTGGCTAAGCTCCCACTCTGATGATGCGATGCATTCCTCTTTCTTAAACTCAATTGCTTGTAACAAAAAAAATCATCAAAAGATTTAAAACAAAACTCTGTACTCCAATCAGTTTTTTTTTTTTAAGAAATTAAAAGGCATTGTGTCTTCTGTTAAATATTTATGTATTTGGCCATTGATGTCTTCATTTAAATCTGTCTTTTGAGATGCAAATTAGACATGGTTAGGGAGGTGGGGAGGTACAGAAGCTTTCCCATGAAAGTGTTCAAGTACAAGGTTCCTAATGAACAGGCATCTTATTGTTTTTCTCTGGAAAGCCTGCATGTGCTATTTTTAAAATAGAATTTTTATTTGACTTTATAAAATTCTAAAATAGCCTCTTGGGATATTTAGGGATTTCTCATAAAGGTGCTTTATACAGATTTTATCATCTAGAAAATTGCAGTTATATGCTTCAATTAAATGTATTTGTTAAGCAAACTCGAGGATGTGTTGTCTGTCTTATGATTAAATAAATTATTGTGTAGGATGCAGGTCTTGTGTGTCGAGACTTGTATAGCAGGTCTCTAATGTATGTGCTCATTAAAAAAACTCACAGATGCCTGCTTTTAAAGGTATTGGGTATTTATTGTGTTTGTTTTTACTTCTCCAAAGTACCTTGGAATTTAGGAATAATGTTCTTTCAGAAAATGTTCTTGTATTTTTTTACATCTAAGACCTGGAATATTTAATTTACTTTTCAGTAAAGTTGTAAGCTGCAATTTGAAAAAAACAAAAAACAAAAACTAATAAAACAAATCCTCATTTCACAATTTAAACCTTATTGAGTCTAATTCACTAGCGCTGCAAGTTTATTATTCTCCTGCAGTTTGACGTGCCTCCAGTTGTAATTGTGTTGACCCTTCAGTGCATTAAATCTCCCTGGTGCTTATCAAACTGGGCGAGATAAGTCTACAATTCGGAACTTCATTAAATATCTCATTTATATTAAACAGATGATAGCTTCTAACAGAAATAATAATTTATTCAGGTGAAGGAGCCACAGTTGTGGTTTCCTCTGGAATGTGCAGTCCTCTCTCCACTTGGTTGTGCTCTGCCCCCTGCCTCCACACGGGCCCCTCCACCCCACCCCCCAGCCCTCCGTATCTCTGGCTGCCAGCCAGCTCCAAAGCATCATAAGATTTTAGTTGGTGGGGTTAACCTCAGAGCCCACACTGGGAGGATTTGTGTGCTTTGTTCCTCCTTGTTTCATGGCTTGACTAGCATAGAGTTCTCACTCATATTATGTTTATGAAGTATGTGACTTTATAAGGCACAGCTGTCTTAAAGAACGCCACATACTATTTTAATTCTTGGTGATAGGAATCCACCTATATTCTTTGCTTATCTAGCAGATTCTATATATTTGCAAAATAGCTACCTTTGCCTGCCTTATTAGAATACTGGGTTTTAACTTCTGTTTTGTCAATATCCTGTGTAGTTTATTTTCTCTCAGTTACTATCTCATACTTAAGAACACAAAGAGAGAATAGGATGATCGTTTCTAATTTCAGCAGAAGAAACTGAGGCTCAGTGTATTGTTGAAGACACCCGAACTGACAAGTGGTCTTTAGGTCTTAGAGAGCGGGTGGTCATTCTCCCCCCACACACACCAAGGTGTGCTGTTAGGTGTATTTATGCACTCTAAGTGTAAAAAGTAGACTTAAATTCCAGCTTCCATTCTGATAATGATAAAGGATGTCTAGCGCAGGGCAACATCGCATAAAGAATTCTGAATTAAACCATAACTCAAATTGACTTCAACAGATACTGTCAAGCTGAAAAAAAAATAAGCAACAAGGTGAGTTTGGAAAAAAAGCCTTTAATATACATATTTTTCCTCCAGTGGTTGAAATCTGACAACTTCATGGGAGGCACAGTGTAAAGTGGCACAGGAAGTTGGTCATTAGGCAAAGCTGTCATCACAAACTATTTTGGTACAGGGTGAAAAGTTCTAGTTCATTTGGTACCCAGTTCGATGCAGACCCTGGGCAAGTTGGGTCTAATTCCCCCATGCTGGTCATGGGCCTCCAGTTCTGACTTTACCTCGCCCCCCCCCCC